GAAGATAGTTTTCTAGCTTGGACAATTGGGTTGTTAGTAATGTAATGATTGTTGTTGTTGTTATGTGCCGTGGAGTCAGTTCCAACTCATAGTTACCCTGTACAGGGTTTCTGAGCCTGTAAATCTTTACTGGAGCAGAAAGCCTCATCTTTTTCCCGTGGAACAGCTGGGAGTTTTGAATTGCTGACCGTGAGATAGCAGCCTGATTCGTAACCACTACGCTACTGGAGCTCTTTAAGGTAATAATTAGAGATAAGGAATAAAGGAGGCAACAGTGGTTTGAGTTAAGTTAAATTTGCTGTGTCAATTACATCATTGGAATTATGGATTCTGAGTTTGGAAGAGAAACTGAGACTAGGAACTTCAATCCAGTGACCAAGTGTGTGCTATAAGAAGACAAGTTCAACAGTAGAGCCACAAGGGAGGATAAGAAGAAGAAGAGGAAGAAAATGTGCTGCCAAGTTTCTAGGAGACAGTAATTACACCAGAGACAAAGATTCTGAGATTCCACACTCATTTCTGGGGAAGTTAATCTAGGAACTGCAGTAGGCAAAACAATGCCCCTCAAGATATCTCCACCCTAAACCCTTTGTTATGTTGTTAAGTGCCATAGCAGAGTGGGTTCTGACTCATAGTGACCTTGTATAGGGTTTCCAAGGAGCATCTGGTGGGTTTGAACCACCAACCTTGTGGTTAGCAGTCCAGTGTGCTGATTCTGCAGCGCCACACTCTAACCCCTAGAGTCTGTGAATATGCTATTTTACTAAAGAAGTTTGAGCTCTGGTAGCGTAGTGGTTACGAATCGGGCTGTGAACCTCAGGGTCAGCAGTTCAAATCTACCAGCTGTTCCGTGGGAGAAAGATGAGGCTTTATGCTCACGCAAAGATTTACAGCCTCGGAAACCCTGTACAGGGTCGCTATGAGTCGGAACCAATGCCACGGCACAAAACAACAACAACAAAGAAGTTTGAAGATGGGATTAAGGTTAAGGACCTTAATCAAGAGCGTGTTCTTGACTATTCAGGTTGTTGTTGTTAAGTGACGTCGAGTTGGTTCTGATCCATAGCAACCCTGAACAGGGTTTCTGAGGCTGTAAATCTTTACGAGAGCAGAAAGCCTCATCTTTCTCCCACAGAACAGCTGGTAGTTTCAAACTGCTGACCTTGTGGTTAGCAGCTTGATTCGTAACCACTGTGCTACTAGAGACTATTTGAATAGGCCCAGTGAAATCATAAGACTCCTGGTGTGGTGCTATAGGATCAGCACTAAACTGAGAACCACAAGGTCAGCAATTCAAACCCACCAACTGCTCCTCAGAAACCCTATAAAGGATTGCTACAAGTCAGAATCAACTGTATGGAACTTAAAAACAACAACAATGTAATCACATGAGTCCTTAAAAGTAGGAGATGAAGGTAGAAGAGTGGCTGACAGAGATGCCAAATGAAAGCAGAGGCAGGAGAAATTTGAAGTGTGAAGGGGACTCCACCCACTGTTGCTGACCTTAAAGATGGAGGAAGAAGGTCATGAACCAAGGAATGTGGGCAGCCTCTAGAAGCTGGGAATAACCCTGAGCTGACAGCCAGCAAAGATAGAGGGACCTCAGTCCTCCAACTGATGAGGAATTCTCACGCTGAATTCTTTGAAATCATTTCAAGGAATTGAATACTGCCAATAACCCAGTTGAGCAAAGAAACAGATCCTCCCCCACATGCTCAAGAAAAGAATGCGGTGCTGCTGGTACCTGGAGATTAGCTCTGAGTCCCATTCCAGACTTTCAATTTACACAAATGCAAAATAATCATTTTCTGCTGTTTCAAGCTGCTAAAATTATAACAATTTTTATTAAATGCCGTATCCTTTACCTGGCTCTTCTTTCTCAGATTTTTCCTTAGATGTTGGTGAAACCTATGGGTCTATTGTTTGAGTTCTTTTCTTGCCCTCCCACATTCTTTGTCCAAGATACACCCAGGTCCCAAATCTAATTTCAAGGTGATAGAAAAAACTTAAAGCAAAGCTTGTAATTTGTTGCTTGGGGTTTCCCAACAATCCTAAGGCAGCCAGCGATTTGCACAGACCATATGGTTGCAGAGGGAGCCTAGAACCCAGGTCTCCTGATCCCGAGAGAGGGGTATTCTGTTACACATTTACTGTGGAACGACCACCTCTGACAAGACCCCAAGGCTTAGAGAGGGAAAGGCTGCTTCTGCTCATCTCTCTTCCCACATCTTACCCACGACAGTGCAGCCCTGCCATAGCTGGGCCGTCACCCTAGTTCCCCTTCTTGATTTTTCCAGGGGCAGATGGTACCAGGGCATTTCATTTCTGACCAGAAAAGATTTTGCCAGAGTTAAGAGGCTTCTGAGAGATGGTTTGACTTGTTGGGGGCCTGACTTGATTACATCTTCTCCTTTTTGATGTGGGGGGTAAGTTTAGTTTGAAGAGAGAGAGAAGAGCCACTTAAGACAATGACAATGAGGTGGCTGGAATTGTGTTCTCTGCTGTTGATTGCTATCATTGCCTCAAAGAAAGACAATGGCCTAAACTGAAGCCCCTTGCCTTTAGGATGTTGCTGTTGTTGTTAAGAGCTGTCGAGTAGGTTCTGACTCATAGTGACCCTGTATAGGACTTCCAAGAAGTGGCTGCTGGATTTGAACCATTGACCTTGTGGTTAGCAACCCACTGCTTATCCTACAGAGCCACACAGGGCCTCTCAAATTCTTGTTCTCAATTTCCTTCCCAAGAGTTTGTAACCTCTGAAGCCCTGCATTGCTTTTCTAGTACAAAGATCTCCAAAGTGCCTGGCTTGTCTTCCAGGCATCAGGGCTGGTGAGTAATACTAGTGTAGCCCCATGTCCCTGTTGGACTTGCAGCAGGTGTGAGGAGAAGGGATGGCTGATGAGGAAAGCCATTCACAAAGCCTGCTGTCAGTGTTTTTGACCTTCTAGCTGCTCTTTGGCCCTCCTCAGCTGTAGCTCCCATAACTCCTCTGAGATTCTTCTGTAGTCCAAACTTAGCATCTGTGCCACTGTTATGCTTGCACAGAAATGAGCTAGGCTGAATTCGATTTTGGAGAGCTCACGTTGTTTCCGTCCTTATTACAATATCCTGCCAAGCAGATTCGCTCCTATTTTTGTCTTTTCCATCTTATGTGCATTACCCCAAAGGGCTGGAGTATTGAGGACGCTGAAATAAAAGGCCATCTGAGACCGTCTTCCCCTAACAGTAATCAATTACTAAGGATGGATCAGGACTCCAAACTTCAAAAGAGTGCATGACCTAGTAGGGAAACACTACCAGAACTGCCCAGAGTACAGGCCTCTCAGGAGGCTGAAGTCTCAATATCTTGGTTCTACATGAAGAGGAATGTCAGGGTGTGGAACTAGGTCCCTGGGGAGCTTTCTCCCATCTCCCACTGAACACATGGACAGAGCAGCTCTGAACTAAAGCAGAGGTTCCCCGGCTCTTGCCTAGTCCTGGAGAGGATACAGCGGCATGATGATGGCTGAAGTCTCAGCTGAGAAAGGTTGTAGATGAAGCTGAAGACAAAAACAGAGAGAAACTGCATCAGAACTCATGGGACAGACACAATCCTGGAGGAAGTGCAGCCTGGGAGGGCCATCTAGGAGAGTTTTCAGGGAAAACTTCCTGGGCTGACTTTGGGGAAAAGAACATGAAATAAGGATGTCCAGGAGACATAGCACATCTACTGCCATAGGTTTTTGTCCCAAGAGACATTTCATCTGAATGTGAAGGTCATGATGCCAATGCCCACAGGTTGTTAGTTGCCGTCTAGGTGATATTCGGATTGATGACAACTTCTTGGGTGCAGAGTAGAACTGCACTGTATTGGGCTTTCAATGTTGTGACCAACCAGAACCTAGCCTAGCTTCTGAGGTGCCTCGGTGTGGGTTTGAACTGCCACCCAAAGACACACCCATAAGTCTAGGAAAATCAAATCAGAAAACTGGGTCAGATGAATACTGTCCCACTTCTCTCATTAAACTTCTCCTTCCTTGTGAGAAGCAGAATCCACAACCTGGAAATGCAAGTTGCCAATTGGGATAGCAAGGAAAGGCTTTGAAAGAGATCATGCAGAAAAGTAGACAAGCTGAATGTTTGGAAATGGGATTAACTTCTTGAGGCTAAAGATGGGGAAGAAAAAGACTATAGTGTGGCCCCACTATAGCAAGCTAGGGCCACAGGGTTTAATAGAAGGATAAGAAGACCAGTCTCGAGCCCCCAGGAATCAAGAAAGGTGGAATTGAGACCAGTCAAATCTGCAGTTGGTCTCAGTGTAATGGAAAAGTGACATTTAAGATGTCATGATTCTCTTTCTCTCTTTTATGATGATCCCATGTGTGTCAGAACAGAAATGTGCTCTACTGGGGTTTCTTTCTTTTTCAAAAGCTTTTTACTGTGAATTGGTTGAAGGCAAACCCATTTTCCATTCCACAATTCAGACACATTTTGTTTCATGTCATTGACTACAATCTTCACAAAGTCACATCACTTCCTCCCTAACTTTCTCCTTCTTTCCTAACTTTTCTGAACTCTGTCCTTGGGTAAAAGCTTTCAGTCGGTCTCAAACTGTTGATTATTCTAAGGTGTGTGTATCTCCCTAGTGTTATTGTTCCCCGTACACACCTATTGTTCTATTGTTTGGCTAAGCATTAAGCCATGGGGATGAGTTCAATTAATAAATATGACTTTAAAAAGTCATATACCATGCATCAGCAGAGATGCTTAAGTCACTTGCTTTCCATGGCTTTATAAGAATAAAGAAAATAAGAATATTCAAATAAGAACCGTGTATGGACAGAACCCTCATGGAGAGTCAGAAGACCCACTTTCTAACCCATCTTTGTCACTCACAAGCTATGTGATCTTGAGCAAGTCACTTCATAGTTTGGGATCCAAGTTCCTTCATGGTCAATAAGGGAACTGGATGTGCTAGCCTTATGGTCATCTTCTAACTGAGCAGTGGACTTGAATCCTAATCAGTAGGAGTCCAGTTGTAACTTACAGTTTTGGGCTGCTGGGCTTGCTGCCACTTCCCGCTGCTGAGGACGTAACCACTCGACACCTCTGAGGAGGGTGAATCTTAGGACAGCATGTTCTCCTGGAAAAGAACGAAGGGGCAGGGACATTGCAAACTCTTACAGCAACATCTGACAAAGTAAATATTTCTAAATAAGGCACTTGCTTCATAATCCTTATGTTACAGGATGTTAGTGCTAGACTATCATGCAGATGCAAACCTTGGTATCCTAGATGAGGAGTCTGAGATTCACTGAGGAGGAAGCAATATGCTTAAGGTTGCTCAGTTCACACACAAAGAATCCCCAGGCCTAGACACTAAGTGACCTGACCCTTAATTCAGGGCAAACTGCTGCCCACTTCTTTGACATCAGAAGAGATTTGGGGATTTGTATCTGGGGAGCTCAGATGTAGGAAATAAGCTACCACTAGGGACATTTTCTCATTCCTCCAAATGAATATTGCTTTGCCCCCCTACCAACCACTTCTCTTTTTCCTCTAGCCATTTATTTTGTCTTCCTCCAAAGTCCTCTATACCCCTAATCTAAACAGTCCTCCACCCACAGGTAGGTTTAGCCTCATGTCCTAGTGTGTTACTGTGGGAAAAAGCATTGGACCACAAGGTCGGTGGTTCAAACTCACCAGCCACTCCTTGGAAACCGTATACAAGGTCGCTATGAGTCAACAACAACAACTGGAGAGATTAGGGTGCTGTGGTGGTGTAGTCAGTTATATATTGAACTATAACTGTAAGGTCAGTAGTTCAAATCCATCTTGCTCTGTGGGAGAAAGATGAGGCTTTCTGCTTTCCAAAAGATTTGCAGCTTTGGAAACTACACAGGGTTGCTATGAGTTGGAACCGATTCGATGGCACACAGCCACCAACCACTACCACTCCCTTCATGCAGGAGACCCAGGTTCGATTCCTAGTTAGTGCACTTACGTGCAGCCACCACCTGTCAGTGGAGACTTACTGTCATGCTGAGTGGCATCCTGGCATGGCACTGGAGAATAAGCACTGGACTGTTAAATGCAAGGTCGGCAGTTCAAACTCACCTGCTGCTCCTTGGAAACCCTATACAGGGTTGTTAAGAGTCGGAACTGACTTGACGGCTCTTAACAACAACAGCCTCCAGACTAAGATGGACTAGAAACAAAAGCCTGGAATCTACTTCCAAATATCAGCCAGTGAAAGCCCCATGGATCACATGGTTCAGTTTGCAGCTGATGATGTGAGTGGTGTAGGACTGGGCAGCATTTCATTCTGCTGTGTATAGGCTCACCATGTTGTTGTTGTTGTGTTGTTGTTGTTGTTAGGTGCTGTCAAGTCAGTACCCCACTCACAACGATCTTATGCACAATGGAATGAAACACTGCCCGGTCCTGGACCAACCTCACAATCGTTGCTATGCCTGAGTCCACCGCTGCCGCCACTGTGCCAATCCATCTCACTGGGGGTCTTCCTCTTTTTCTCTGACCCTCCACTTTACTAAACATGATAGCCTTCTCCAATGACTGATCCCTCCTGACAATATGTCTGAAGAATGAGAGATGATGTCTGGTTGTCTTGGCCTCCAAGGAGCACTTCAACAGGGACAACTCAACAGTAGCTCATTATAACAACTAGAGATTGCAGATTTCTATCTGCTGAGGTGACATTTGTAAAGTAGAGACAAGGATACTGAACAATGGTCATTGCCTATCAGGCCTGCAATGCCATAGAGTCTGTTTCGACTCATAGTGACCCTGTTCATGGTTTCTGAGAAGCAGCTGGTGAGCTTGAACTGCTGACCTTGCTGTTCAAGCCAACCTTGCAGTCCAGAGCATTAGCTTGCAGCTCCACATCAGGATACCTGGAAACCCTATACTGGGTCACTATGACTCAGAACTGACTCGGTGGTAGTGGGTTTGCTCTTTCTTTGGTCCTATCTCCATTTTGTTCTGATGTTGGTACTGCCCCAGATGCACAGAGCTGTTTTCTCTAGTTCCCAGAACTGTCCACTGCAGAGAAATCTAACAACCAACTATGTGGACAAACTTTGGTACATACACACAATGGAATACTATGCAATGCTAAAGAAAAACAATGAGTCTGTGAAATACCTCATAACATGGATGAATCTCAGAAGGACATATTGTAGGAGACTACTATTATATAAAGTCAAGAAAACATTTCCACACTAAAAGAAACATTCTTCGATTTTTAATGGAGGTGGAAAGGGAAGTAAAGGTGAATTGAATCACCAACTAGAGGGTTATTGTTGTTGTTAAGTGCTATAGAGTTTGTTCTAATTCATAGAGACCCTGTATAGGGTTTCTGAGGAATGACTAGTGAGTTCAGTCTTTGGTGACCTTATGGTCAAGTGCTTATCCTACAGCGCCAAAGCAGGACTAGAGGGTAGACACATATTAACTTGGGTGAAGGGGAAGGCAAAAATTAAAAACTTAAAGAAGTAGTGTTGGTTGTAATAATAAATAGATAAGGAAAAAAATAAAGCAAGGACCTGGGTATAATTCCTTAGTACTAAGGTATGTACATGCTAACACCGGGCTGACTGCTTACCCATTCATAGATATCCTTCACCAAAAGGATCTCTTTCCTCTCTCTCTCTTTCACTTTTTCCTGATTATACTATTTATATTTACTATAGAAAATATAGACAATATAGAAAAGTAAACTCTCTCTCTCTCTATATATATATATCATAATAACACCACCCAAATACAACACTATTAATACTTTCATTTTCATTTCCGAGTATTTTCACTGCTTTCAGGAAAATACATATGTGTATATAAAAATAGAGATATATACATAAACAGATCAATAGATAGGTATGGGGTTCCGAAAGTTCTTGGGAAAACCCCATTATTTTTTCATTTCATCTTTCCATGAATGTTTTGAGGTCCTTTCATATATGTTGCTGTTGTTAAGTCCTGTTGAGTCTGTTCTAACTCATAGTAATTCTGCATAGTTGGTGTATTTGAATCACTGACTATGAGGTTAGCAGTTTAGTGCTTATCCTGCAGTGCCACACTGGATTCCATCTCATATATATATATAT